TTTTTTTTTATTTTTTTTATCTTGTGCCTCTTTTTTTTTTTTTTTTTTTTTTTTCGTGGGTTTCTTGGGACTCAAAATAAATTGCCGAAAATCTCAAGCAATATAATGGAATTAACAGTTTATTTTGAAGCATGAAGCACAGAAAAAAATCGCAGAAAAAAATGGAAAAGATATCGTTTTCCCAAATTTTGTACAATATCACATGGATTTTTAACATGGTTTATTGACAGCATTTCTAAGATTTATTTTTATTTCGTGTTGCCGCATTCATAGTCACAACATTTTTTAAAATTGATCGCAAGAAGCAGTTTCAATACGAAAATTGGAGGAAATTGAAAATCATTACAAGAATCAAACAAGCGATTATCAGCATTGATAGAACATCGCAAATAATACTGCAATTTTTCTTATTTTAAGTTTCCCCGAAACTGAGATCTAATGTTCGACATGACCGTGAAAAATCTATTATGGCACATTATTTATATAAAACACTGCATATAGCACTTGAAAAATATATAAAATTATATTCCTTCAGTAAAAATTTTCTCATTTTTTTTAGATGAAACGGCTTAAATATTTAAATGAGCCCTCAATTTTCCGCTCCGGGAAATTAATAATGAGAAAGAAGGCGAGGAAGAACTTTGAAAATTGACTGAAAGTTTTCGCATTCATCTCGACCACTTCTTCATTTTTCAAAAAGTTTGAAGACAAAATTACCTAGGTTTTGAAACTTCTTCGAAATGGCGGTCGACGACTTCATGATTATTTTTTATGGAATATTTTCTGATGAAAATTTTATACGACCGTTGAAAATTAATTTTAAAAATCTCGAAAAAGTGGTGAAAATTTCGCGTAGACTGTAAATTTTAGTTTTTTTATATAAATCTGCTAGAAGACGTCCCGAGAAGAAGATTCCCAGCAGCAAGTGGCATTAATTTTTGGCAAGTGCCGAAAAGTTCTCGACGCGGCGCCCTTTATTCTTCTCTGTTGGAACATAAATTATTTCCAGTCTCACTCTGAATT